TCAGAATGATGCGTGGTTCTCGGAGCAGCCATAAACAGACTCACAATATGAACAGCATGAGCTATATCAGGCCTAGTGACAGTCAAATATATCAAACTCCCAACGAGCTGACGATATAATGTAGGATCCTCAAGAAGAGAACCATCCAATGGAGTAAGACGAATATCATAATCAACAGGTGTGGAAGCTGTCTGGCAATCAGTGAGACCGGCTCGAGCAAGAAGATCAGAGGCATACTTGGCTTGAGACAAATAGAAGCCATCAGAGGAATCATAAATCTCAAGACCCAGAAAATAGCGAAGACGACCCAAACTCATCTCTTCTCTCAAGATAAATAATTAAACTGATCAATTGCTCGTCGGAGGATGCCGGAGAGGATGGTCTGGGAGGTGAGAATTGAAGACGGCCGGAGACGTGCGACAAAAGAAAAACCTTTAATTGACCCTAAACCTAGTCTGATACCATGTAAGAAAGTGGGAAAAATATATGTTCTATATTATTCACAAGACATGTACACATATATATAGAAACATAATGAGCCTAAACTTAATCCTACAAAATATATACAAAATATATTCTGACCATATATACAAAATATATTCTAACAAAAACCGTGAAATGCTCAACTGTAAGTTTGCAAGTGGAAAGAATTCTAAGCGTTGATCCGTGACAAAAGTTCGGTTTGTTCAATATGCACAATACAGACCGACACTGTGCACCCTAGTGTAGGACGAATTGCACCTTAATATTTGTTAGATTGAGCAGCATATTTTATTTACATACATACTAGTTTTTTAATAAAAATAATATAAAAATAGATAAATATATATTAAATAATAATCATGTTTTTTTATAATAAACAATATAATTTATGTCGGTTATTTTGGTTATGTATGTTAACCGACAAATTAAACCGATTATGTCGAAACTCGAACTAAAGTTTTTAGTTCAAAATTTTATATTTTATTTCGATTATTTGTTTTCACTTTAAAAAAAAAAAAAAA